GCCCTCTGCATTTTTAAAAGGACCTGTTCCTGAACACATGGCTCTCTCCTCTCTCTTGCTCTCCCTCTCTCGCTCACTCTCTCCTCTCTCTTTTCTTGCTCTCTCTTGCTCACTCTCCTCTCTTCTCTCTGCTCTCTCTGATCTCCTCTCTCTCTTACACTCTCTTTTTCCCTCCTCGCCCCTTCCCTCCGGCCTGCTGGGTTTTCCTTTCTGTTACTCCGGTGTTTGGTGTGTTTTGTGGTGATCCAAGTCACGGCACCAGTGTAAGGTCCCAGGTTTCAGCACCAGTGTAAGATCATCACAAAACACACCAAACACCGGGGCAAGGGAAACGGTTTATTGGGAAAACCCAGCAGGCCAGAGGGAAGGGGGGAGGAAGAAGAAAGAGAAAGAGTGTAACAGAGAGAAGGAGAGAGAGAGAGAGAGAGCACGAGAGAGAGAGAGGAAGAGAGGAAGAGAGGAGAGAGCCAAGAGAGGTGAGGGGAGAGCAGAGAGCAGAGACCAAGAGAGAGATAGAGAGAGAGAGTGAGAGAGCGAGAGGGGAGCAAGAGAGAGGAGAGAGCCACGTGCTCAGGAACAGGTCCTTTTAAAACTTTGCCAGAAGGCGGGCAGGGAAGCAGGAGCAGCAAATCCCATTAGGATGTGGGTGGAGCTTGACACTGGTGGTTGGGCCATGTGGCCACCTGGCTTCCAGCAATGATGGTGGGGGTGAGAGCCTAGGATGGTGTCAGGGTGTAGATTGCACCAATTTCCTAACATGGAGGACTCAAAATCGTCAAACACAGAGATGTGCTCACTGCCCCAAACACAGAGCTCTGACCATGGCAGGGCATGTGGTGCAGGACGCTGACTGGACTCGCTCATCCCATAGTGGAGGGCCTGGGTCCAGTCCTGATTGCGGCATCCTGCTCATGCACACTCAGGGAGGAGGCAGTGATGGCTGAGATATGTGGGTTCCTGCCACCCATGTGAGACACCTGGATGGAGTCCCCTCGTCCATCTCCAGCCTTGTCCAGTCTGCTGTTTTGCACATTTGGAGAAGGAACCAGAGGATGGGAGATCTCTGTCCTCATTTCAAATAACATGAAAAAATAAAAATAAAGAAAATCTCTGCTGAGCTGTCACTCTGGCTGAGGGTGAGAAGAAGAGGAATGGACAGTAAAGAAGGAGTCAGAAACATCAGTGCTGGCCTGGGGAGCAATTAGAGGAATAACCACAGTAGCCGCTGTGGTGCAGGTCTCTGTGTTCTGAACTCAGGCAGCCGCTCAGGCCCAGAGTCTCCTGTTGATGATGCTGAGGGAGTGGAAACTTCACCCCATCATTGTGTGCAGAGGGGAGGCCTTTGTGCAGGGATTCAGTTGGGACAGATCCTTAGGTCACGCCCACATGGCTTAATGCTGGTGGGTTCAGCAGGGGATTGAGAAAGAGCACACAGATTTAGAGAGAAACATGCTTCCTGCTG